CTGCAACACTGCCAGCGGCGAGAAGCAAGCAACAGCATCGTGCATCAGGTGGCCCAAATGAGGGCGGATGAACGATAATCAGAGGCGACGATCCATCGTGGCCTGGGACTGCTATGTCCCAAACAAATACCAAGATACCAAGATTACTGTAAGGACAGCACAATGTAATGTGTAGCACTGTAAGGACAGCACAATGTAATGTGTAGCACTGTAATGACAGCACAATGTAATGTGTAGCACTGTAAGGACAGCACAATGTAATGTGTAGCACTGTAATGACAGCACAATGTAATGCCATCACACTGTAAGGTGTAGCACTGTAACGACATAACTCAGTTACTTCTAATATCGAATTTTACATTATAATTACATATCAGCCAATTACCAACAGTTCAAAATTACATATATTTTGAAGCTGTATTTTTCTTACAAAATATTGCAGGGGTAAAGAAGTAATTTTAAAATGTCTCCGAAAAATTACCTCATAAAGAGGGCAGCTGCAGAGCCTTAGCTCTGATAGCTGCGGGAAATAATTGATATTATAAACAGTGGCCCAGTCGGCGACTTTAGTGGCGTTGAGGCTGAGGTATTTGAGGCACGGGAACACGTCGCTGTACCGCCCTGACGCCGGCAGTTCTGCGATGGGGCACTCGGCCAACACCAGGGCCTCCAGTTTAGGGAAAACTTCGCCTAAAATTTCAATCTGGAATAATAAATTGGTCAATATGACATTACACGGGAATGGGAGGTGGTTACGGAAACATCATCGTGAGTGCTGGCAATAATGATTGCTGGGTAACACGAACAATCTTTAATCTCAATAACATTCAACGTAAAAAATTAGACATATTATAGTGACACATAGATAAGCTATTGAAAGAGATGCATGGAGAAACAATTAAATGAGAAGCATGGAAAACAATTGAATAAGAAGCATGAAGAAACAATTGGATGTAAATGATAAGGACTAACCTGCTCCCAGTCGTCGGCAGGATTGTTATTAAAATGAACGCGGGTGACAGTAGGGAACTTGCGGTCGCTTCTGGTCAGTTTGTGGTAGTCATTCATGCAGACGTGGAGCTCCTCAAGTCTGTCAGGGGGTGCAATATGCATTACAATTTGTCATTAATAAACACTGGGCTTTATATTATCAAATATCATAATACTCGGTATTAGATACTTTAAAGCCATATAATTCTAGTATAGTTATCTATCGATATGTCGCGTTTCATCTAGAGCGACATCTAGAGCGCTTCATCTAGAGCGCTTGATCTAGAGCGGCTTCTCTTCATCGCGAATTTTCAAGTCTCACTCTTCCCCGAGTGCATACAGTTTGGTTGACCTGTAGTTCCTTTAAAAACCCAAGACAAAGAGCTAAATTTGAGTTACTACGTACGCCACAGACACAGAGATGTGGCATAGAACTCAGCGCAACAGAGAGTCTTGAGTATAGCGGACAGGAGACTCTCTGGCAGAGGAGGTGCAGGAGTACCTGGGGGAGTATGCGAGGAGGTGCAGGAGGTACCTGGGGGAGTATGCGAGGAGGTGCAGGAGGTACCTGGGGGAGTATGCGAGGAGGTGCATCACCTCATCCCAATGTTTGAGTTTGTTCTTGGAAATGTCGAGTTCTCGGACTCCTTCGCACAACAATAGCACACACCTCATCCCAATGTTTGAGTTTGTTCTTGGAAATGTCGAGTTCTCGGACTCCTTCGCAGCGCTTCTCGACCTCGCCGTCCTCGCCCGCCTCCTCGATCTCGCAGTCCGCCAGGATGAGCACGGACGGCAGGCGCGGTCGGCCGCTGCGCCGCAGCTGCAGCGCGATGCACGACACCTCCGTCACGACCGTGTCATCGTCGCCGTACTTGTTGTCGCAAGCCTCAGGCAGACTGGGCATCGTCGTTACGCGCCTTCTTCGTCTGCAGTCCAATGAAATGTTGTCTCAGAACGCGGCCACGTAATAAATGAAATGAACAAAGTTCTGAGAGTACGCATTAAAAATGATTCTTTCAGCAGCTAATGCATCGCAAATACAGGTGTTCGTTTAACTATAAAATCTTGAGCCATCCGAATTTCACTACAGTAAAAAAATTCGTTATAATTTCTCTTACGAAATGGCAGGCTCGATCTGAACCCTCCATTACCATATTGAGCAAAACTCATAATAAAACATTGTAAATAACAAAATAACACTGGTTTACAGCTGAGAAATTTTATATCAAGATCTCTAATAAAGTAACGAGATCTCTTGAAGTAACTCTAGAATTTATTTGGATTGCGGCTATACAATACAATGTCTTACTACACACTTGAGAGCAGAAAAAGAAGTAATAACACACAAAGAACAATGCGTAGTGCACGCAACCGGAATATATTGCACCGATATTACATGGTCTATGAAATCAAGAGCGAAATTTACACAGGCGCAGCCACAGCTTCTGCAAACAATACACACAATGGCCTTTATGGCGGGATTTTATTGCATGACGCGATGGTTTAGACCGCCAACCTTGAGGAGCGGTGTGTTAATACGTTACATTTTTCTGCAGAAACGCGACGCATCCAAGCGAAGACTGTAAACAGAGCAATTCAATCACCGCACACCTCAGTCAACCCTGACCTACATAACTGCTCAATAGAGCTACGCATTCGAGCAACATTCTCATCGTCATCCACAACTATTGTCAGCAACGCTGGACCGAGCAATTGAATTTTTATCTGGAAGTGTCTTGAAATATGTAATAGGTACAAAAAAAGTAAATAGCTTGCCAGCATAGATTGTTTCTCCAGCAACAGGTTTGTTCTGAATATTATAATAATGATTGTCAAAATAAAACCGTCTTTCTATTTAATCAAAGCGAGTACTTTTCACCGTTTGACATGGAATGGAGAGTTCAATGAACCGCCATTAGACGCGACAGTAACTCCGCATATTTTTCACTGGTGTGCGAAAGCGACGACGGTCGAGTTTCGTCTTTCGAGGGACCGTTGTAACAGCTGGTCCGGTGGCGACTAATGCATCAAGAAAATTCTCACGCCGCTGGCTGGAACGCTGACTCCATTCTCACTGAGCTTCACCCGGAACTTCAGCAACAACGTCAATTACAAAGCAGGGGAAAACTGAACGGTGTTCTGAGCAACAGATGAACGAGCTGGACTAGCTGAGTCAATTAAAATGTGTTACGGACCAAGCGTCGATGATGGACGAGTCCGATTTACAAAACTGTCCAGCTGAATCCCAATCGTTAGAGGATTGTCCTCGTTATATAGCTGGTGGACCACATAAGAGAAGGAACACAAAGCTGGTGGATCACATGAGATCAGAGAGACATTCGAATAACAGCTCGGTAAGTAACTGAAAAAAAACTAATATAACAAAAATTTTGAACTAAAAATAAATAAAATCGCAGTTAAGAAAGTTATGTTTTTCCATCATTCCACGTATTCAAATGTCGACAATGTGGACACGCGAGAGCCAGAGCGCACGCAGGCGAGCGGAGCTTCCCAGTGGGTCACGGAGACGCTCGCCTGCGGCACACGGCAGCGTGGCGTGACTGACGCGCGGTCTACGCACGACCACAAGGGAAAGCGCTGCATCCTTACGAACATGTCCTACAATATCGAGGCTCATATAAACAATATCTGTTAGGGTTTATTTTGGTGATGTATTGACACGATGAACGTAGATACTGGTTTACGGGTGCACATGTATGGACGACAGGCTCGCACGGCCGCAAGCGAAAGCGCTGCATCCTTACGAACATGTCCTACAATATCGAGGCTCATACGAACAATATCTGTTAGGGTTTATTTTGGTGATGTATTGACACGATGAACGTGGATGCTTGATTACGGGTGCACATGTATGGACGACAGGCTCGCACGACCACAAGCGAAGGAGCTGAATCCTAACAAATAAGGCTTACAGTGCACGACTTAAAAGAAGGTTGTCTATTAGTGTTGATTTTAATGATAGCACTGGCACAATGAACGTGATATTTAATATTGCTTAACTGCTGCACACACGAAACTTCTGCGGCAGTAAATATCTCAATGCAATTTATGCATTCGTACGAATTTTTACGGAAGTTTTATCACGCAATCGCAAAAGGAAACGCAGTTTTGGCTGCCCTACCGTCAAGTTTCCTTTTTCAGAAATCATTTTCGAGATAAACTTCAGCATTGACGTCAGCAACGAGAAGCACTACATATATATACTTATCGAAAAGGCATTAATAATATTATAAAAGTTTATTCAGATGATAGTTTATACCAAACTAAAAAGGAGGCACCAGCTAAGAGGCAATTAACGAAAAAAATCAAGGCCTTGATATTAAAAACTATAAAGTAGGCAGACGGTGCAGACCTCAATGAAGGTTGCGGACGATGAGAAGCGAACGTGAAACGCTACTGAGCATTAAGCGAGGTTCATCTTCATGTAAATCATCTCGAGTTCTGCGTCGGCACCATGCCATATGATCTAAAACATTATAACGAATAAATGAATGTTGACAACTTATGAAAAAATTTGCAATGATTCGATCTAACTTAACGCTTTCGCGGGCAAGCATATAAATATGCAAAAATTTGAGTTCCAGAAACCAGTACAAGAAAATATTAACTATTATAAAATATATTTACTTCCATGTATTTTTCAAAATTATTCATATTGGAATAGTTAATCTTACTTTTGAAGTTACCATTCATTATAAAATAGGTACCGTATATATTACTACGTCCGTCTATTAATGAAATGCGGAATGAGCGTGAATTTCATTGCCCGAGTCAAAACATTAATTTAAATGCTTGTATATGAATTTTTGGGCATTGCAGAGGGCGATAATATGCAGAGAGCGATGGTCAGATGCTTGGCTATTGGCAGACGCATGATAATGAAGCCCTAAACACAAACCGGCGCCTGTGGTGAGTCTTTTAAATAGATTTTAAGTGATCATGTATGGTAACTTGCCTGCAAAAGAGTTAAGACCGTGACTCACGTAATACTCATGGGTACATGCAAGGTAGTTCAATAAGGACGCAGTGATGTGGTAACCCAGGGCAACCGCTATAGTCGTATTCCTGGCTCTCACTTGAACATTTCATCCCAATCACGGTAACAGAAAGCGAATTATTTGAAGCAACCGTAAAACAAAAGAAATAACCTAGCATACCTGCGCCTGATGCAGGAAAGTCACTAGCGATCATCCTGATGTATAAAAAAATTTACAAAAGTGCGATTAATAGCAATAGCATTACGTTGTTACTGGCTACTTTAGGACCTGCGCTCGTGCTGCCAGATGTGAACACATGCACCAGCCAGCGGATCAGCTTGCGATACATAGATAAGATAGCGCGGAGTGCATGCAAGGCAACGTAACGGTATAGGGTAGGAGGTGACGTCACCAGAGGCAGGCACTGAGCCCTTGCCCAGCGAGACGTCAAAGCCAAATGCGCAGGATCTCAGTAATTGCGAGGTAGGGAGGCGATCACCAAACGAAGGTCTAAACCTCGAGCAAAGATCAGGCGCGCCATGCAGTACCCATTGGCCTTGAAGCTCGTCCAACACCCCAAGGTACTCAACATGCACTCGTATTGTGGAAATGGAGATATTGTGAGGTACTTATACGAAGTTCAGAGATTAGTACATTGAAACGAACTTCATGGTATTTATACTGAATATTGTGCAGTATTCTTAGCATGTGCACACAGACATCGTTGGCGCCAAACGCAAATAGTGCACGGCTGCATAGGCGATGCAGCTGCGGCTCTGTGCTGCTACTGCGTGTGCGAACGTATGGCAATCACCTTGAATATCTTACAAGAGTGTACCTCATTGTTTGTCTAAGGGCATACAATGCAAGGAAGACGTCATGGGTGTCTTTCTACTTCTTAAAGTTAAAAGCAGGATGGTTTTCTCGCAATGCACTTAATGTTCAAGAAAAAATAGACGCATTGAATAGAAGAGACACTATTGCGATTCCTGTAGAATTTATAGACAGGCGGAGTGTTTGGTAAATATATTCGACAAGATAGAAAACCAAATTTCCGTTCAAGAGGCCGATAATCATCAAAGCCGATGAAATGAAATACATCGCGTATCATGAGGAGTTACAATACAAACAATATAAATGACATGTGTAGAGGGTTTAATTGCTAGTCTATCAACAGTTTGCAGTAGTTAATTTATTGCGGGAAGAACCACACTCTTGCGATGTATTAACATGCTATTAACAGCGATTCAAGGGCTCTAGAAATCCTCAATTGTTTAATCAGCGTAATAAAATAACGAAGTTCCGCCGTAATCGCTGACGAACACTAATATTGAGAGCATGTTATGATTTCCGTTGATTCTTTACTGCTTGTAGAAGGTACACAAAAGCAATTCAATTTAAAGTATATCTTGCAGAAACAGTGAAATAGTTTATCACAACAAATTTGGTATGGAAAATCGTACAACAATCGTGTACATATAAGTGAGTTGCACGACAGCTGAGTAGGCAGAGCTGAAGCGGGCGCATGAAGGCAGCGTCAGTTGGCTCGCCAAGACGGAGATAGTTGACCCCAAATAAACTGGTTCTGAAGCTGCATTCTGAAACTCGTCACGATCACTGTGACGATAATAATTTTATACGCACGGCCGTAACTGGCAGACAAACTTAATATTACCTTAACTATGGGGCTGTTATGAATTATGAGGCCTAAAAATTAAGAGACCTCTTCCAGGGCTCTTAACAGCGCAAGCGTGAGCTGGCCGCGGCCGAGTGCATCCTTCGCTTCTACGACTCTATAATTCATGACAGGAATGAGCCCATGGTATTAACAAATGTGATTCTTGTATGGCAACTACCGTATGTATGTTAATAGGGAATTTTTGCAGAACAATGTATTTTTGCAATGATAACTAAATAATTATGTATATCTTGAGCAAGAAATACTATCATTCAAGCCATGAAAATCTACAAAAAATTAAGTGAGCACAGCTAAGCAGTGTAGTATATTATAGTAGGTATAGATAATGTTGTCATAATCACGTCATATTTTTAAACTTAGTATCATATTACTCATATTAAAAATTTTTTAGACAGAAGGTTAAAAAAAACTAACTATGAATTTGGCCAGTATCATCCAGAGATCTTTTGCCAATCAAATTAAGCAATCAAGTGAACAGCATCAATTACTAAGTGAATCTAAGCGCTTAGCAGCTAGTAGGAGATGACAATAGTTAATTTTTAAGTGAAAAATAAAAGGTTAAGGAGGAAGCAAGCAGCAGGAAGATGATCACCATAACAATTTTCATTGTTCAACGGCTAACGAGGAGACAGATGACCAGTGCCTGATAGAAGTATCTGTGATACACTCCAGGAGTTCATATTGCTCATATCAATGAATCATCACAAATTATACATCAAGTTTTTACAGCCACAATGTAAGTATCAAACAGACATTCTAAATATCAGTTAGCAGCCTTATCTCAATTTCTCAATGAGCGAAAACCAACAGACCACATAGAAAATTTTACTCATACCAACAGTCTTTGCCTAATTCGATCAATTGAAATTAGTAACATTTGATTTATCATATTTTATTTTTATATGTGACATTGAGAGCACACTCAAAACCAACAGATCAGCATTCAGCATAACAGCATTGCCATTTGCCATTGATGTCATAGTGTTAGTCTTGCTTATGAAAAATCTGCTCTCTGCTGCAAGTCTGCAAATATTCTTGAACCAGAGCTTCAGCAGCCCAGCCAGTTTAGGAGGCTTGGAGCCAAATGAATTAGACCATTTCAATTACATAGTATCTTATTTTTTGCAAAAATGCCTGGTGAGGCAGTTAGATTATATAGGTATTCCTAAAAATCAACTAAAATAAGTTACCTTGGCATTAAAAATTCCAACAATAATTTGTCCTTTACCATTTTAGTTATTATGGTAATGGTTTATAGTAAACACTCAAACAACAATAAAACCATCAGTATCAAAATCATGATGTTTAACAATCGAACTATCAACTAATCAAGTATTATGGATTCATGCATACCATCGCCATCGGCAGCGATCGCCTGAAGACAAAAATGATGTGCTCTAAAGCACAAACTGAATGACTTCATCTCAGTTGCATGAAAAGCAATCGAGCCTGTGAAAGTAAGTATTTCGTTTTCTAGATAGATTTACAAATGAAAGACCCATTTCGTATTGAAATTGAGTATAATTGACAGATGCAATATGTTAATCACTTAATGGTACAAAATACAGGAGACCGGGTTATAACCGCACGCGACCGTTTAAAAATATTTACCTTGCGTATTAAATTTACGTTTCCTATTAACCGTAGCCGTAGGGCACAAAAGAAATAGAACGAATGAAACTTGTAACAAGTTCAGTAAAGCTTGACTCTAACGCCTCCCATAACCGAATCGACATGCATACTGAACAATGTAAACACAAGAAAGCAAAGTTCCAACAGCTGAGTAAAGGTGCCAAGTATTAATTTTAATGTCAGAGGTTTGAAGTTTTCTCTTAATGAATGCATGTATGAAGTAATTTATAATATTGTATCTGAATCTTATTTTATTAAAGTCTAAAAAGTTTCCTAATTTCCTTCTACCAGGCTTAATAGAAAAATTCATTGTAATCACTTATGGTACAGTAACAAATTACATTTAATTCCTGTGAAAATATTTTCAGAAAAGCTTTATGAATGATGAATCTCTTAGAAGTCTTAGGTTGACTTTTCTACAATTAATATGAACGATTTTTCCAGATATATTTACGCAGAATTAAAAATCAACTCGCAGAATGAAAAAAACTTTGGAATGGGAAAATATACTAGTTGGAAACTTTCAACAGCTGTCTGCACACAAAGACCAAATTTCATGCTAACAGAAATCGATTATACCAACATACAAATACGCTTTAAAAAACTTTCACATAGTCTCGAAATCTGTTTTTTCCAAGAGCAGACACATACTGGGGGAAAATTTTACAATTTCAATGCAAATGAGATTATTTAGGCTATTCTACTTGATCAGTGATCGCTGCATAGCCTACGTGACCATGTCTGTTTGTTCTGTCGCTCATCGTTACGATGGCAACTACAGTAAGACTTCTCTGGGCTGTTCGAAGAGTAGGTACGTGTTATCAGTCAGCCTCGCCCGCTGCAACTAGAGCAATCATCACTAATCGCTATTATAATCTATATCATCTGAGAGAATTGAATACAACTACAATAATGGCCTCCGGATTTGTCGGGTCGAACTCTGGTCTTCTGTTTCGTCAGGTGAGATATTTTATAAATACGTACTACCACCGGGCCGTCCGGGCGCCACTATGATAAATCGATCGAGGGTTATACTTTCTAATGAGTTTAAAATTTATTATCAGAAAGTGTTGTTTCGGTACTGCCAAAATAGGGCCATTGAAATTAAGTAACAGCTATTTCTGCTTTATGTTATTTGTCACTTGTCAGTAAACACTAAACTAATCATCGATAGCCTAATTATGGATTAAAATTGTCCAACTGATGTCTGAATCAGTCTGATAATGTGCCATTTCTGCCGTACTGATGGAAGTAGAGAAGACCAGTGTCCAGTGACCACAATTACACTACCATATCCTTGGAACAATTTTTGGTTGATATTATCTAGGAAATATGGGTTTGAGTCTTTGAGAATAATTGTGTAAAAATTTTTGCTCCCAAATCATGTTATTATATTAAAATTTGATGCATAATGATGTATATATATATATATATATGATAATTCCATTATTTGAAATTCCCTAAGCACATGTTCATGTAGCCTTTTCTTGTTTTCTATGATATAAAATTTCAGCTTTTTGACCGGGATAGCTGCACCTACACTTACCTGCTGGCAGACACTGCTACCAAAGAAGCCCTCTTGATTGACCCTGTGATTGAATTGGCTCAGAGAGATGCTACTCTCATCAAGCAGCTGAAATTGAATCTCAAATATGTGGGTGAGTACTAACACTATATTAGGTGACATCAAAATTTGAATTTTCTACCTGGTAGTCTGGTACTGATATCATGAGTTACAGCTCCAATGTGACATTTTTAATATATATGGAATCTTGCAGAATAATCATTTACTTGTGTTACCAATTAGATAGGAGGTACTTGAACTTCATCTATCAGGAATCTTGCTGCTCTAAAAATAATTGAAAAGAAGATAGATGTTTTCTACAATTGCTGGGCATCATCTGTCCACTTCTTGATTTTTTTAATTTAGATGTAAAGTTAAATATTTAATTGACTTATCATTGCTCAAAGTATTGGATTTAGCATGAACAAATTCTACTTTATTGCCTTCATATGTTGGGGCAAATGAAGGAAATTGTTAACTTGATTCGAAATTATCAAAATGGGTTTGACGATTGTGTCAACCAATACCATGCCATCCTTTACCAGGCTTACAAATAATTAAGTCTTTATTCTTAGATAGGTGTATCATGATGGAAGTCATGAGGTTGTAAAAAGAGAAAAGCTAATGGGATTTGAAGCCATAGAAATGATGGTATGCTAAGCTTTAAATTTTGCCAATGAATGTGGCTGTGGCCTGTGGGAGAGTTTAAAGTAGTTACATTTTTTCATGTTCAAGTAATTTAATAATGTACCATAGAATAATAATTTATACACTCTTAAGTAACTCATTAATGTGAACAACTAAGAGGAAGACCTAATGATATAAAAATATTGGTGGCATAAATGGCCTCTCAAATAATTAATTTCCCTTTCTTTACAGTCAACACTCACGTGCATGCAGACCACATTACCGGCTCTGGGATGCTGAAGAAGCTTGTGCCAGGCTGTGTGTCTGTTCTATCTGAGGCTTCTGGCGGAGATGCTGATCTTAAAGTCAATCCTGGTGATGTCATCAAAGTGGGAGCTGTGGAGCTGGAAGTGCGTGCCACTCCTGGTCACACTGCAGGTGAACATTACTACTCAAATTACTGCACTCCAAATATGTCAGACATGCTATTTTTGTGAATTAATTCCGAGCTGTGAAAATGTAATCGGATATCAAGATTCGGGGAAAAGCTGTTATTTTTATTTATACAGGGTGAACCAGAATTAACTGACCCTTTTAATTTGTTAATAAATAAAAAACTAAGAACGTTATGAAGTTGAAACTTGTTTTATTTAAAAGAAGAACATTTTTATGGTAATATTGTATCCTAGTTTTTAGGATACAATATTACGTACAATATTTTAACTACTAATACATATTATTAATACATAATAAATATGTTAACTAATACAATAATAAAATATTGTAATAGGATACAATATTTTAACTAGGATACAATATTACCATAAAAATGTTCTTCTTTTAAATAAAACAAGTTTCAACTTCATAATGTTCTTAGTTTTTTATTTATTAACAAATTAAAGGGTCAGTTAATTCTGGTTCACCCTGTATATAAAAGGTTTTAGTTCTTGTTTGCTTCATGAATGATCTTGTCGCCAGGCTGTGTGACGTTTGTGGACCACGCCCACGGCATGGCGTTCACAGGTGATGCACTGCTTATTGGTGGCTGTGGCAGGACCGACTTCCAGGAGGGCAACCCCGAGACCCTCTACAAGGCTGTACACTCTCAGATCCTGACCCTGCCTGACCAATATCTCCTCTACCCTGCCCACGACTACCAAGGTTTTTGTTTAGGTTCAGTTCCTCCAGATCCACAAGGCTGTGAGGGTTATTCCTTAGGATGTCATTCAATCACTGTGAGATTTTTTTATGCGTCTGCCTACTAGAATGTTTTTTTTAGTTTTATTAATTACAAAATTTTTTGTGAAAATTTTTACTGGATTCCTTCTGGTACTCTATACATACTGTATATATATGGTTCGATTGAAGACCAGAGCATACTTTTTATTGACAACTTTCTTATTGTTTTTTTTTTTCAATAAGCCAATATTTTCAGACATATACAGTGGGGGGAAATAAATATTCGTACACTTGAAAAATCGTATTTTAATGTATGTAAGTACACAAACTTAACAGGAAATGTGATTTAAATTATGTATAGAGACGCATAGTATTCAAAAATAAGTGAACATGTTGCATTGTTTTTTGTTGCATTGAGATTTAATTTCTTTTGATAGTATTTTTGAATACTATGCGTCTCTATACATAATTTAAATCACTTTTCCTGTTAAATTTGTGTACTTACATACATTAAAATACGATTTTTCAAGTGTACGAATATTTATTTCCCCCCACTGTAATATTCATTATCAAGCAGGTGAAGGGTTTTGCAACACCTGAAAATTAACTTTTAGAAATGGCAGTAGTACAAATCAAGGGTATTGTGGATACAGGTTGAAATCCAAGCTTAAAATTACTCTGAAAATTATTTCAGGGTCCTGCCAAATCCTGTAGTTTGGAGGTAGATGGCTGACGACTCGCTGTTGATAATGAAGGCCTCAGCTATTGCGATTATTTTCACCCATTTCAGAGTAATTTTTAGCTTAGATTTCAAACAGTACCTATCCTCAATACTCTTGGTTGGTACTACTACTGTCATTTCCAAAAGTTAATTATCAAGTATTGCAAAACCCTTCACCTGCTTGATAATGAACATTGTATATTTGAAACGTCACACTCCATTAAAATGTCATTTGGTAACCTGCTTTTCGATCTCCTGGGGCCAAGAAGAAATTTTGTTTGTCTCATTAAAAAAAAAACAAGAAGATTGTTATTAAAAAGCATGCTGAATGCATAAGAGAAAAGCTTCTGCAGAATCACACTAATATATATTCGTATAAGGTGGCAGATTTTTCTTGTTGAAACACGTACGATTAATGAACTTGGTGGATTTTGAAACACAATTATTTTCTTGTGTTTCAACATGAAAATTCTGCCACCTAATACTAGAGTATATTTTTTTACTGAAACATTTAGTTCCTTTATTTAAAGACATTTTGGATTAGATTAGATTGAACGTGATTTCATTTGTTCTTAAAATAATTATATTATCTTTTTTTAATTTATATCAGCTGAACTATCATCTATAATTATTTTTTTTACTGGTTTCACATCGTCAATGTTTGTTTTAAGTGTCATTCATCATGTCTTCAAAAACTTTTCATGTTATCGTTTCAGGAAACCTTATCTTTTCCTTTGTCGGTGTAGATATTTCATGATACAAACTTGTTTCCATTACAGGGCTCACCGTTACTTCTGTCAAGGAGGAGAAGGAAAACAACCCCCGGCTCACCAAAAGTCTCACTGAATTCGTGGAGATAATGAACAACTTGGGGCTGCCTTACCCGCGCAAAATAGGTAGGTTAAATATGGTATCCGAGAAGTCTTGTCTCTCAAGTATGAATAGTATTAATTCTTCTTACTAATGGCTAATTTGCAATATATGTAATTTTTATCCAGATTATTTCATTATAATACGTAGTAGGTAGTTGCATACACACCCTATTTATATGTTTTCAAATTGATGTTGTTAATGGCTGCAAATTGTCAAGGGGTTTTAGTTTTACATTTTCTTTATGTAAATTCATTGCAGATGTCTCCCTGCCTGCAAACAAAGTGTGTGGTCTCTACAGTCTGCCTGATGATCTTGCAGCTGAGCTTCAAAAGGCATCATAGACTTCCCGCCATGGCATCTAAGCCAGGCAGATTTTCTTCTATCGGTTCTTTGATTTCGGTTCTCTGACTTTCTTGTGTATTGATTTTTTTGTTGGGAAACAGGGTGAACGTGCGTGGTTTCAATGTAATTATATATGTACTTGTTCTATGCCATTAATATGTTAGCTCAAGTTACCCTCAATATCTTTATTACTTAAGAAAAATATATCACACTGCACGAATTAGGCGATCAAGTCACGCAAGCTTTAATGTTTCGCACATGATTCACCTCAGCTGATGTGTTAACAATATGCCCGGAACAAGTGTGATATGTAATCTAAGCTTACTTTAATTAACTTTCAACATTTATTCAACGTGATACATTACATGAACCGGTCTGTTACCATTTAAAGAGTTCAGCACGCATGGCCTATTTAGTGCCTTACTGTCCAGCAATACATGGAAATTTTCTAGGTGGTCTTCATCGAATTTTATTACGAAAATTTTTCCGTAGTAGTACTAGGATTTGTTCACATGGTGATAGAAGCTGTGCTGTCGTGCACAATACAATAGAATGCTCACAAATGTTTATTAGCTATACAAAGTTGTTATGGAACCGGTACCGTGAAATATGAAAACATAGTTCAAAGTTAATATTATTGTTACAGTTTATGAATATTTTAAGTTTTTTAACGTCGATTGTGATTTTTAACGTTGCATTCGTGTTATTGCAAGAGCATTTATTTTGTACTAGAACAAAAAATTACCCCCTGCAGTTTTTACAAAGAAAAACAAAGGTATCGTGTTCGTCATTGGTTACGTTGCAACATGATGGTGATTAGGTCGTGCTAACGCGAGACGTCAGTAATTCCTTGCTGTTGTGAGCGCTTATGTCACAATGGAAGCCTCGAACTTGAGGTCGCGTCTACGTCCGTCATAACATACCGTACTCGCTTTCTTAATATTTTCATGTATGTAAACGTGCTTTGTTTCATATTATGATTTGAGACAAATTTCATATAATTAGCATTCCTGTGAATTTGATATAATTTAATATAGCAGTATTTAATACCAAGCTGCTTATACACCTAAAATAGCGAGCTGTGATTAAATTGGATTAAGATTAGAGGGATGCAAGCTTATACACATTTCGTGTAATTTTAAATGCCTTCCCAAACGATTTTACTTACAATAAAAATAAATACTTTATTCGATGTGAAGATTCTACTGATTCTTTTGGTGAAGAATAAAGTGTAAATTGATTTTGAAGTATAATTATCGAATGTGAGCAGCATAATAAGTAGGCCAGCAAGTCATTGGTCTCTGAGCAGAGATTTTCTTGAGCAACATTTAGACCTTATACAACTAGAGACAACAGCATCCTTCATTGCAGCCAGGATGAAAGAATCCAAGACCCTTTGAAGGAGTATTGGCATGGCATATGTGGTTAATCAAATGGTATTATGTCAACCTATTAAAGGGGCTGAAGGTAATTCACAAATTATCACCAAAGTCGTTCATCATTGCTGTTCAGAGAGCCATCTTTGGTAATCTTTCTTTTCTTTTTCAACTTTACGACTTTTTCGCCCGTAGGAATCCCTAAGCTCTTTCTTTTCTTGAAGCTCTGCTTCATCAGCTTCATAATCCTCCATCTGAATCCCATGGAAGTTCTCGCCACGCTCTCGATGCATCAGCTCCAGAAATGATATGTAGTCCTCCAGGGGTATGCCAAGAATCCTGAGGACATAAATGCGAAGGTACATACATGAAGCTCTTGACGTTTATTTTTTTCCAAGACAAAGATGGCTTTGTTCTTGGAAACTATCGGTCAAAATAATAGGCAAATAATCCTTGATATTTTAGTTGAAATCTTTGAGGAGAAATGCTCACTAGGCCTCACTCCCACAATAACGTATCCCCATGAAGTCGGACATAATAAGCAGAGAAAGCCAGTTAGTTCAACTCACTGTTTGCAGAACTGAGCATCAGACGAGTTCATGATGAGGTCGAGCTTGACATTCATGAGGTGACTGAGACGGTCACGGTGAAGTTTAGGCTTCTTGTACACACCGGTGCGTAGCATAGCTTCGTGTCGCTCTTTGATGTGCTGCAGAGAAAAGCTCAGGGTGTTGTTGTAGGAAATGTGCGGCTGATCCAAACCCATTTCCTGCACATTAACATCAATATAATTAATCAGTTTTAATCACATTATTTCAATTGAATCATAACTTATAGAAACTACAACATACTATGCTTATTTATTTTACAAATGGTAAACCTGTGTAATGTGAAGAATGTCACAACAATGATATTATAACAGCTATAACTGTTAGGAGATGTGAAATGAAAATGCAAGATTTTCTATCATAAAACATACTTCATAAATGTAAGAAATTTTTTCCCAGGTAGTTTTCCATGAATCAAGTAGAACATTTGGTGAGTTTTTAAAGAGATGCTTCAATTCTTTCTGTGGGAAAATATCCCGAAAGTTATCCAGTTTTTCTTCCATGTTTTTGTCCATTTCGATGAGTTGCGGACACCTGCATGGCATGCAAAATTGGCATTTAATACATTAATTGTTAACAGAGCAGTGCAAGAGGGTATAGAAACAAACTATGTTACCTATTTCATATTAGCATCTCAACAGAGAATCTTTGAAATTTCAAACACTTCACAAGGTAATCATCAATACAAGTAAATTAGTATATTTGAAAAAAAAAATAGAAAATGATCTCAAAGTCATTAATTTAAAATTCTTACCCTATAATTTATAAAAAATTATATCATTTCTTTTCATTATAAAAATTATTACACATTGAAACTTTAAAAGAAACCATTACTACAAATCTCTTCTGTTGATTGGAAAAAAATTTGCTCTACTTTTTAAAATGTGCATTAAATATGAATAAATCTACTCTTACTTACAGGTGCAACAATTGAGTCATTGGTTTATCAAGGTGCGGTAGAGATCCCAGTGCCATCAGTGCTGCTTCAAGATCTTGAGGGGACAATGACAAGATGTCACTGCCATAGTACATGATGACTCTAATCATGGCCTCAGGGCTGATATTATGGTTAATAAAGACTAATAATATTCTCTCTAGCTGTGAAACGCTTAGTTTAAAAACATGAGGCTCAATGAAGCCATCTGCATTTGAAGGCATTTGGCAGAATGCATGAATCAAATCTTCCTTCTTCACTCCAACATTGAGAAATTTCTGACAGATTTCTTCTATGTGATCTTCAGAGAAGCGATGCTTGTAATATTTTTTACCAAAATCTTGAATTTTTTCCAGATAATTATCAGCTGAATAATTACTGAAGTAATTTGAATTATTGATATAATTTTGTTGGCTTGTTGAAAGATTTTGAGGCATGGCAGGTGAAGGCTTCAATAAACAGGTTTGTTGCCTCAGATTAAATAAATTCCCTCTTTTAACCATTTGCTTATAAAAATGTAGACCTCTGATTTGTATTCTATTTGAAAATGACATCTTGGCGTTTCAAAATTACTATCTGCAAAAAAAAGAAAACAAGTTAGTGCCTGCAAGGCTGCAAGAAAGATGTCATATTAAACTTTTCACTTTTTCTACCAATTTATTATCCATCACAATGCTGTACTATACGGTATATATAAAGGTCCGGGTAACTTGAATCTATTAGTGCTAGTGAATAACACTTGACAGATTTAAAAGTACCTTGGAACTTGGCTTCATGTATGGTATAAGTTATATTATATATAGTATAAGTTAGATTCTATGTGAAAGGAAACAGTTGCTACTAGGAACTGATAAAAATGAAGAATGGCTTAAGAATTTTGATAGGTGGAATCCTAAGTTTATATGTTAAAATATTTTAATAAATATTTTGTAGTATTAAAAATCAATGTAAATAGTCACATTTTTGGAGATTTTACAGTTTGTTGCATTAATTAGTTTCTTACATTTTTGGCCCACCTCCTGCAGATGGAAAAGGATTCATAAAGAGTATTTTTTGCAATAGCAAGCAAATCATCTTCAGGATTTGGGCAAATTAATTGCTAATAAGCTTGTCTGAATTGTGTCTTCAGATCTTAACCCTAATTGCATAGGGTAGGCGGGAAAAAGCCCTTAATTTCTAATAACCCTTGTAAAAAACAACAAATCTCACAGCTCTGTCTGTTGAGATACTCATCTACTGAGATCTATTCTTGGTGTCAGATCAATAATATTTTAGCTATTTTGATCTATGATTGTTAGGTAGGCAATTTAGCAAAATATGTATAAACTTCATCACCGAGCAAGCTGCTCCAAGCGTTTGAGAGCTCCAGTCAAATGTACGATGTTAGTGTTCCACTAACTGCAGAGGTGGGAGGTGCTCAAGCTTTCCACTATGTCCATCCTTCTCATTTCATGTAATTTTTGCAATGGCAGCCTTGGCAGGCATTGAACTCAAAGACAATTTTGTGTCAGTCAATGACAAAAAAAACAGCACTGAAGAAGCACATGCACTGGTGCTGAAGATGCACATGCCCCAGCGATAAAGATGCACATGTTCTCAGGCAAACACACACGTGAAAGACTCACAGCCTCCTAACTATCGGTAACATCACCACATTATCAAGCAGTCAGAATTGTTTTTCACGGAAATAGTTCTGCTTGGGACCAGAATTTTGGTCGTTTCATTCTCATAATTTTTTAAAATGGTTTTGAGTTCAGAATTGCGCATTTGAAGACTGTATTTGATAGGAAAAGATCTATACTAAATACTAATGCCTGGTAAAGTAATTGCGGTGTATATAAGATGGAATACATCTAAAAAATATTTAACAAAATTAAGGGCTAAAATAATTGCAAACAAGGTTGTAGGGTGACATGATAACTCATGGCAAATAGGGTTAAAAAATAATATGTAAGTTATGTTAAAATATGGTGTAAGTTCAAGAAGAAGCTTGGGCCTTGGACTTGATTGTAAATGGAGAAAGTTTTGCTACTCCCAACAGGGTATTCAATCGCGCTGAGCATTGCAGCACCCCTCAAGCTTGAAGCTGCCAGTGCCAGGTGCTGCAAATGTTGCATTATTGTGTCCAAACTACTGCCTATTATACGGGAAAACACATTGACTGAAAAATTGCTAGTAATATTTGTAATCAAAAGTCAAAACCAATAATGAATGATTAATTATTCAAAAATGGTTTTGAATGGTAGCTAGCATGTAAATCAAAAATAAAAAATTTAGACTTCTCTAGTTTTCAGGCTCATTTTAAAGGTCCAGGAACTGTGCATTTAAAGAGCCAAAAACTTCCTATGTTTGTAAATTGTACCTTCATTTGTTCATTCATGACAACTGTCAAAGCGCAACTACCTAATAGCCTACCAACCTATATACGTTAGTCAAATAAGGTAAGACAGGATTGCAGCCTTCATGGGGTAAGAAAGGACTGGCCCATGGCATGCATTCTGATTGCACTGAATTTAATTTGACAAAAGAATATGTTAGAGCAATCATTGCCTGTCATTTCAGTGTTTCTTTCAACCCTCTTCTGCAAATAATGAATTTTTGGTTAGTTTTCAAAGAAAACCTATGTAAAGAAGGGTCACAAAATAGTTAACCCTTTTTGGGAAATAAGCTGTGTCTGATTAAAAAAAATTTTTGGCCAGTTTTGTGGATGTAGGCAAGTAACCTCAAGTAACAAGCAACTTTTGAGACATACTAGGCATTCCTACCTGCTTTCATCACTGCCTGACAACTATTCTAAAATGGGGTAAAAAAGGACCGGACATGGGGTAAGACAGGACCACTAAATGATCCTGTTTTACCGTAAAATGGGCTAACTTAGACCACTTTTTTCTTTATAAATGATGCCATTTTTTTACTAGCTAAATTAAACTTGAATTGAAACATGCAAAATACAGGTCTATACTCTAGCTTCACTTACCATAAATTGCTGGCTCCTGCCTCTCATAGTCTTTACGTAATTTAAAAAAAAAGTGATGGTCTTTGTTACCCCAGCTCTTGGGGTAACTTAGACCGGGTGGTAAAATCAATTATATTTTTTGGTAAAATAACTCTAAATAACTCCAGGTTTTGGTGCATTCTAGTAGAACTCTTCTAGTTACATATGCAAATGACAAACTTGAGGAAAGTGTCATAATTTGCAAATGGGGGGCACTGCCCCATAATGAGGGAAATGTGACTACCTAATGGCAGCCCTGATGGGGTAATATTGACTGGCTTGGATATTAAGTTAAAATTACCATATATAAGACTCCGTAGAGTCTGAAACACAAAGAAAAAAAACATAAATAGGCTGTCAGACATAAAATATGTTATATATGGTAATTTTATATTAACTTCCAAGCCGGTCTATGTTATAAATTGGAGGGGGTACTCTGACAGGCTTTAAATAATAGCATTTTTTCGTGGGTCACATTTTCAATTTTTTAACCTATTAGATATGCAAACTTTTTAAATCTTTCTATTGTGTTATGTAGCCTCAGTATTAGGCCTTTAATGCCCATTGACAAAATTTTTCTATGTCAAATAGTTTTTGAGTTGTGTGGGTTTTAGTTAAAAAAACAAAAAGTGGTCTAAGTTACCCCGCCGGTCTAAGTTACCCCATTTTACGGTACCCCACAAGTGAATGAAGTGATCCTATCTTACCCCACAAATGGTCCTGTCTTACCCCACCAAATGATCTTACCCAATAGTTTATCAAAAATGGCTTTTAAATGAACATATTATTGTGCATAGTATACATGGAGTATTTTGGTCAAAATTTCCATCTTTTGCTTAAAATAACCATCCTAACTTGTTAGCTTTTTTAATTAGATGAAATTAGCATACTATTGTGAATTGCATCATGGGGATGGAGCAAATAGGGATGTCTCTTCCTATAGTATATGTGAGCTGCAGAACAATGTGCAAGAGTGGTTGGGGAAAAATCATTTTGTGAAACATAAAAAATAATTATTATCACAATTTTGTGAGAGGGCATGGCATGGCCACATGGGCTATGTTTGAAGAAGTGCACCACAAATGCAGTTAGCAAGAAAACGCATGACTTCGACTCTTAAGTTATTATTCATTGGTTTTATTACCAATTTGATAAACTTTCAGACAATGACACTAATGGGATATACATGTAGCATTTAGCAGTGCTCTACAATGAATCAAAGCCAACCTACTATTTATATGCTTAACAAAGTTTTCTCGTGGCAAAAATTCCAATGTGATTGATATTAGAGTTGACTTCATGCAACACAAAACAGTAACAAGTGGTTGTTTAATCAAATAATGTGTTTCTAGATGGATAATATTGAATATCAGATTTATATTTTTACTAAAAACCTTGTAACAGAAGAATTACCTGTTGGTCCTTTCTTCCCCCAGCCACTTTTTTTAATCTGTACAGAAATGAGAAAACTGTGCTGTATGCAAAAAGTCTGAGTTGTAGCTTTGAAGCCCATTGCATAACCACACCTTGTGATAAGCTTAGGATTTTTTAGTTATTCATGGTATAGATGCTACATGCCTGTTAGTGTTAGTGATTTTGGTCCAGTCTTACCCCATCTGACCCCGATTGGAAATTTAAGGTAATGATCAGGAGGACTGCTTTTCAAAATTCTCACGGAATTACACCACACCGCCATTGCACGGATTTTGTAAGAGATCTTGAACATTCTCACGGAATTGCTATGTTTTCACGATTCATCATTTAAACAACTAACATCTCAATTTCGTCTAAAAAAAGATTACTCATTACGTTGCCTTAATCCTTGAGCGTAGAAAATAAACACCTAAATTGTTTTAGTGTACCTACTGAATTACTGCATCCATCGCACCTTCTTCAACTCCACAGTGCACGCTATCAGTTCCGTCTCCTACGATGCGGATGTGAGCAGCTACTTTATATAATGCAGTAGCTACTCTAAAAATAATAGAACCGATGTTTTTTAAGAAACAAAGG